AAACCAAAATCCATGAAAGCTCAAGTCTCTGATATAAAATGGTGTGGTATTTGCACATAACCTATGCACATCCTCCTGTATACTTTAAATCATCTCTGGATTACTGTTAATACCTGACACAAGGTAAATGCTATGGAAGTAGTTATTGTACTTTACTGGTTTTTTACTTGTGTTATTTTTTATGGTTATATTGGTTTTTTTGTTTTGTTTTGTTTTGTTTGTTGGTTGATTGGATTTTGTTGTTGTTGTTTTGAGACATGGATCTCGCTCTGTCACCCAGGAGTGCAGTGGCGCAATCATGGCTCACTGCAGCCTCGACCTCCTGAGCTCAAACAGTCCTGCTGCTTTGGCTTCCCAAAGCACTAGGATTACAGATGTCAGGCACCACCCCCAGCCTGTATTGTTATTTTTTATTGTTTCATTTTCCAAATATTTTTGATGTTGTGAAGGGATGCCAGTTTTGGTGGTGGGTTGGGGGTAGGTCCTGAATTTTCCTAACTGAATTTCCCTATCACTTATTTATTACTGAGTTTGCTACCACTGTCCCTACAATAGAACTGTTCACTGGGGTTCCAGTTGTTGTTGATTTTACTTTTTTAGAACCTCCTTTTCCCTTGGATCTGAAACCAGCACTTTCCTTGCTTTACAGACATAGCAATTCCCGGTCTTTATGGACACATATCCACTCCTACAGGGTCCAGAGTGCCCTGTATATCATGGCCGTAAAGTATCCACCCTGACTTCTCTTAGGCTTTGTTTTCAGAAGCCTGTGACTTCTGAACCAAAGTCAGCCTCCAGTCCGAGGCTGGAGCTGGGACAATGACATGTGCTGAATGGAAGAAGTTGGAACTGATTGTTAAATATTTGAACAGCACAGGAAACAGGAAGCAATGAGAAACAAAAGCGCCCTCCAGCTCTGAGTCACAGGACCGTCTCCTCCAGCAGGCCATGTCAACCACAGCCCCGGGTACATGTAATTGGGTTATAGATATTATTTGGCCCAGAGAAAAAGCCGTCTGTCTGAGGATGTTGTATGCCAACCACTTTAACTGGGAAGATAACAGAGCAGCTATCAAAGAGCCTCGAACTTCAGTTTCAGTCTCAGAGGGTTCTCAACAGGATGCTCTGGCTAGAAATTATTATTTATTTGCAAGGGCTCAGAGTCCACCAGTATAGACTGAAGTGTTACTTTTTACTGGCAATGCTTCATTTGTAAGTTTTGTTCACTATTATTTAAATAATAAATTAAAAATCTTCCATAATTTTGCCATTGGGCCTAACCACTTATATAATCACAATGTACATAAAGTATTGCTTTTACGTTTTTAATTGTGGCAAAATATACATGACATAAAATTTGCCGTTTTAACCATTTTTAAGTGTATGGTTTAGTAGTGTTGAGTATACCCGCCTTATTGTGCAACTGACCAACCTCCAGAAGTAATCGTCTTGCAAAACTGAAACTGTATACCCATTAAACAATCACTTCCCATTTCCCTCTTCCCTCAGACCCTGGAAACCACCATCGTATTTTCTATTTCTTTGAAATTGACTATAAAACTTACCTAATATAAATGGAATTACATAGTACTTGTCCTGTGGTGACTGACTTATTTCACTTAGTATAATGTCCTCAAGATTCATCCATGTTATAGCAAGGATCAGAATTTCCTTTATTCATCCATTGAGGGACATGTGGGTTGCTTTCATCTTTTAGCTGTTGTGCATCATGCTACTGTGAATTTACATAAAGTTTTCTTTTTTTTTTTGAGACAGAGTCTCCCTCTATCGCCCAAGCTGGAGTGCAGTGGTGCGATCTTGGTTTACCGCAACCTCTGCCTCCCGGGTTCAAGTGATTCTTGTGCCTCAGTCCCTCAAGTAGTTGGGACTACAGGTATGTGCCACCACGCCTGGCTAAACTTTTGTATTTTTAGTAGAGACAAGGTTTTGTCATGTTGGCCAGGCTGGTCTTGAACTCCTTACCTCAAGTAATCCATCTGCCTCAGCCTCCCAAAGTGGTGGGATTACAGGCATGAGCCACCACACCCAGCTCCAATTTACATAAAGTTTTATATTCTACTTTTTTACTTTCGGTTGCAATATCTGTGTGTATACACATATAAATGACATATATTATGTATAACATATTATAGAATATAAATTACGTGTTATATATGTAATCTATAAATATAAATTATGTATATATATGTAATTTTTTCCAACTTGATATATAGTCTTCATTATAACTCTTTTAAAATCTGTTTTAAGGGCAACATGACAGTCCTTCAAGCTCATGCACTGAAATAAATTTTACAGTTGGACATTTGAGATATTTCTAGTTTTTCTCTAAATCCTATGATAAAAATTTTGTACCTGTGATTTCCCTCCCTTCCCCCATATTTTAGCATACCTTTTTAGATAGATTCCTAAGAAGTGAAATTACTGGATCAAAAGCAACACACATTTTATAACTTCAAAGACAAAAGATGGAAAACCACGCTGCTTTCTAAAAGAACGGTAGTTGCCTAGCTACTAACAGTGTATGTGAATTTCCACTCCACCGTACTCACAGCTTATTTATTTATTTTTTACGTTATATGATTAATGGGAGGAAGATGAGTGCTCATTCATTTTTAATAGACAACACATTGATTATTAATAGTGATGGGCATTTGTGAGGAGACCCCAGACTTGGCCAGCCTGTGAATACTAGCATGGTTACAATAAATTGAAAAAACATATATATTTGAACTAATACGTATTATCCATATAATGTATGAGTATGTATTAGAAACATGGCCAAATGTAGGTAATCCATAAATGATAGCTACTGTTATTGTTGCCCTTATTCTTATTATTGCCCAACATATGGTGATTGTTAGTCTATACCTGCTTTCCCAGGCCCTCAGTTTGCCAAAACCTTGATTTCCCAATTTTTGGGAGGCATCCCCACTTAGGTGGCGTCTCAGTACATCCCTGTGAGGCTGCTCTACCCAAGCCCTCTGCCTCTAGCGCCCTCTATTGGACACAGCTGTACTACGCTGGAGGCTGTCAACCCTCAGAGTTCCTACACGTACTTAGGGTGGAGGGCATGGTGGCAGAATTGTCACCTGGACTCCATAAAGGATGCTGCCTTATGCCCAGAGTCTTGCAAATATCTTTATTAATACAACTCCTCCATCTTTTGGCCCTAACCCCCTCATTCCCTAGAGGCTTAGGCCACAGGCCCTGCATGTAAGTGGGGGACTGTATGCCATGCTCCCTGTAGGGAGTGGGACAGTGGCACACCAGAGATGACCATCTCCTAGTCCTGGAAGCTGTGAGTATGTTGCCTTACATGGTAAAAGGGACTTTGCAGACTTGATTAAGGATCTTGAGATGGGGAGGTGATCTTGGAATGTCTGTCTGGGTGGGCCCAGGGTCATCCTGTGAGTCCTTAGAATGAAAGAGGGAGGTGGAAGGCTCAGAGTCAGAGGGAGAGTTGAACATGCATTGCTACTAGCTTTGAAGGTAAACGTGGCCAGGAGCCAAGAAGTGCAGGAGGCCTCTGGAAGCTGGAAAAGCAAGGAAACAACGCTCCCCCAGAATCTCCAGAAGGAATGCAGCCCCGTCGACACCTTCATTTTAACCCAGTATGACATATTTTGGACTTCTGACCTCCAGAACTGCCATATACTAAATACATGCTGTTTTAAAGCCACCAGTTTGTAGTAATTTGTTATAGCAGCAAACTATAGGAATGAATACACTCCACTGATGTCTTTGCTTCTGCTTCCTATTTCTCTCTCTAGGTTTACATTTTAAAACTCTTTCCATGTAGGCCGGGCGCTGTGGCTCACATCTGTAATCCTAGCACTTTGAGAGGCCAAGGCAGGAGGATCACTTGAGATCAGGAGTTCGAGACCACCCTGGCCAACATGGTGAAACCCTGTCTGTACTAAAAATACAAAAATTTGCTGAGTGTGTTGGCATGCACCTGTAATCCCAGCTACTCAGGAGGCTGAGATTACAGGGTTGCTTGAACCTAGGTGGTGGAGGCGATAGTGAGCCAAGTTCATGCCACTGCACTCCAGCCTGAGTTACAGAGCGAGACTTTGGCTCAAAAAATAAATAAATAAATAAATAAATAAATAAATAAATAAATAAATAAAAATTAAAAAACCCTGTCCTTTTTTTAGCGTCAAATCGAAAGTTCCCTAGTGAATTCCCACAATTAGGAGGGGCCCACCAGTTCCACAATAGGAAACCTCTGCACTGCTCTTGCTCATAAATTGTATTTGCTTTTTCATAAATTTTTTATGTTCTTTGAGCCACCCATGGTTTAATGTCAGAATAATATAGATCAATAGAGCCTCTCAAGATCCCACAATGAACGGCACTTTCTCCTGTAGTTAGCTGTCCAGTCATTTATGCAAGAAATATTTATTGGATGCTACCATGTATCAGGCACTGAGCCAGTATTGCGATGTGAAGACACAGTGCGCAATCTAAGTCTTTACCAACGCCGTAGATGTTGGGGTTCTATGGCTTGAGAACAATATGCATTGTTTCTTTTCGGGAAGCTAACTCTGGTACAAGTAGCAAGGAATGGGAACTGCACGCTGGTTCCATCTTGGCTTCCAATTTGTATTCAGACCCAGGCAAGAGTTAAAGAGTTCGATGGTAGATAAGCACAGATGCAAAGCAGTGCAGTCCAGTGCCTCTTTGCTTAGGATAATATCTCCCCTCTCTTTATCCTCTCCAGCCCTGCCTTCCTGCCTTTGACGCAGGGAGCTAAGGGTCTGAATGAACCCTGTTGGAGGTTGCAATTAAATCTTTGTGGACAAAGGGCACACACACGCACACATACACAGCATCCTCAGATAACAGGAGGCAATAAATCCATCAGCACATCCACGTTCAGAGAACAGTGTCCCTGCTGTCTTGCTAACAGCTGCCAGTACCTCACTGAGCGCCTCACACCAAGATGGGCTCCAAGGTAAGATTTTTCTCTCTCCAGACAAATTTAATCTTTCCTTGTGATTCATGTCCCTCTCAGAGGATTTTGACTGTTAAGTAAAGTTTACTATTGACTTGTTGGCAAATTCCTGGTTTTGTTTGTTTTTGCTTTGGGATTTTGGTGTGTGTGTTTCTCTCTCTTTGTAGTACTTTCTTCATTCGCTATGTCTTTTAGTTTTCTCTGGCTTGTCTTTTATTCTTATCCATACATATGGTAAGTCAATTTGTATTCAGAAATACCTCATTTATACAGAGAAATGAAGGATCTTAAGTAATTGCATGCATTTACTGGTTAAAACTTAACTGCGAGTTTGGTTCACTTAGGACCTTGGTCACATTAATCTGTAGTAGTGAGAGGGTTCTTCCAGCCCTGGGCTTAGAACAGAGTAGCTCAGTGCTTGGGATACTCCCAACATCTGAGGCTGACTATTGAACTCCAGTGATAATCATTGAAAATTATTTACTTCCTTAATTATGAAAGTAGCTCATTGTTGAATATTTAGAAACACACAGAAGATGACTGAAGTCGTTGATTATAAATAACTGGCATTTGAGTATCCTTCCACTCTCTCAAAAACGTGCCCATATATTTATTTTTAGACATTAGAGATCAAGCTGAAAATACTGTTTAATTTCCCTTTTTTACTTAACATTATAGTAATAGTATTTTCTACGTCACTAAAATTATTTGAAAATATAATTTTTAAGAGCTGCTTAATAATCCACCATTAACGTGTTTGACTTTTCTTCAGTAACAAAAATCATTCTGCAATGGGTCATTTTGAGTATAAGTCTTTGACTACATCTCTGATCTCTCTGATCTTTTTTTTAGGACGGCTTCCTTGGAGTTACTAAGTCAAAGAGTATACAATTTTTAGGGCCCGATAGATTTCATGATGGTAATCTATTTTAAAATTTAAATGACTGGTATTGTTGATACCACAACAGAAACCACATCAAAGAAAACAAAATTCTTCCCAGAAATTCTTTTTACTTGAAGTTTGACAAGGTACTGTGACTTAATGCTGACTAATGATATGAAATCCTAAATAGAAAACTAATCAGGAAAGTCAGTATTTTACTTTCACAGACGAAGGCATCTTTCTGAGCAGGGGTTTGTGCTCAAACAAAAGCATGAGAGTGCTTCTAGAACCACAGAGCAAGGGAAAATGGGAGAGGATAAGCCTGCGAGTTGAAAAGCCTGGGGTTTCATCCCTGTTTGACACTAATTGTGCAACCCCAAACAAGTCTCCTAACCTCCAGGGGCTCAGGTTTCTTGTCTATGAGATGAAGGTTGGTCTACACCAGTGTTTCTCAGGGGGCAGCCCAAGTGACACTGTGCCACGTGAAATATTTTGGGGTGGCACCTAGAATATAGACCATACTTTTTTTTTTTTTTGCATGCCACATAAAATTACTTTTTGAAACATGATGTCAATATCGATGTTGGTTTTAAAATTTTTTTGAGAGATAGGGGTCTTGCTATGTTGTCCAGGCTGGACTCAAACTCCTGGGCTCAAGATATCCTCCTACCTCAGCCTCCCAAGTAATTGAGACTCCAGGCACATGCCACCATACCTGGCAGTATCTCAGTATTTTAAAAGAGTGGATTTAGAGGAAAAGATGAAGTAAATGATAGTACAGGTAGTCCTCAGATATGACATAAACCATCAATGTGATAGGCAAATAAATGTCAGATGTTTGAAAAACACAGGGTTAAGTGATCTGTAGAGCATCTATTTTTTTTCTGGATTTATATCTAGGCATTAATTTCCCTTGAATTTAGTAAGCAATTTAGTAAGCAATGCTTACTTGGAAGGCATTCTGGGAACCAGGTAGGGTTATTGAGATATGTAAGAAGTGAACAGTGATACAGACGTGGAGATGTTTCCAAATATCATACTACTACTTGCAACCCTTTGCACTTTTCGTTTCAATAGTGAGTTTCATTCATCCGGGCAGACTCCCTCCCCTCTTCTGTAAAGGCTGCAGGAGACCTGTAGCTGTCACAGGGCCTTCCCTAAAAGCCTGCAGGGGAGGACTGCCCCAGCGCTGCCCTCGCCATGCTCCGGACTGTTCTGGCCGCTCCCCAGCGGTTGCTGAAGGAGGGGAGAGCATCCCGGCAGCTGGTACTGGTGGTGGTATTCGTCGCTCTGCTCCTGGACAACATGCTGCTTACTGTGGTGGGTACGTTTGGGGGTCTTTGTGCTGAGCGTTAATTTGCTTTGGGCCCCAGCAGGCAGCGTACACCCTGCTTGAGTTCAACAGCGAATCCATCTGAGAATTTTCCTTTTTATGCTCAAAAACACACAGAGGTTGTTGGGTATGGGGGGAAAAAAAAAACCTACAGAAAATGGAGTATGAAACTTGTCAAACATAGCTAAAAGACTCAGGAGGTTCAAAAAGAAGGAGGTCCAGAGAGGGCCTGACTGGAGAAGAGGATGGCCTGGAGCCAGAACTGGCTGTGCTTTTCTTCCTCCCCAGACTGCCTCCTCAAGGGGCTAATGACTCCAGGTGCCTCTGGGGCAGTCAGCATCTTCTCACAGCGGTGCCTTTCCGGCCTCTGCTCTATAAAAATAGCATATTTTATTTGGATATCCGATTTCTTATCAAGACCTTACCTTCCATGTGGTTCTTTCCTTTGGAATCCTGCTTTTTTTTAGTTGTTACTCTCCTAATCATTACATTAAGTTATACCCATGTATAAATGGGTACTAAAAGGTTTCTCCTCTCGGGTAAAATATATGGTTTTTATTTTATTTTATTTTTTTTTGAGACGGAGTCTCGCTCTGTTACCCAGGCTGGAGTGCAATGGTGCGATCTTGGCTCACTGCAAGCTCCGCCTCCTGGGCTCACGCCATTCTCCTGGCTCAGCCTCCCAAGTAGCTGGACTACAGGCGCCCGCCACCACGCCCAGTTCATTTTTTGTTTTGTATTTTTAGTAGAGACGGGGTTTCACCGTGTTAGCCAGGATGGTCTCGATCTCCTGACCTCGTGATCCACCCGCCTCGGCCTCCTAAAGTGCTGGGATTACAGGCGTGAGCCACCGCGCCTGGCCAAAATATATGTTTTTAAATAAGGATCTTTCTGAGACAAGTTGTTAATCCAATACAATCACTTCTCATTATTCATAGTTCTGTAGTTATAGTTATGCTCTGTAAAGTCACTGCAAACACTGAATTCGTGAATACTGAATCATTGCTCCCAGGGGAAACACACACACACACACACACACACACACACACACACACACACACACAAAATTATAATCTTAAATCTTAAACATCACGGTAAATCCTATTTTCTTTGTAAAAGAGAAAAAGAAGTTCAGAAGTGTTAAGTGACTTGCCCAAGGCCTTTCCACTAACAGGTGCCAGAGTTGGGATTCAAGCCCTGTCCAGGGGTCCCAGAGCTGAGGCTCCTCTGACCAGCCTGCCCTGCCTCCTACCGTCCCCTCCTCTGGCCAGGTCTGTGTGAGAGCTGGACATGTCTGCGAAATGTTGTGGTAGCTCAGTGTGTGTTGGTTTGGAGGGTTCCATGTCAATCTAAGTGAGTAGAAGAGTTAGCCAATGTGGAAACCATGAAGAATGAGAACTAATTATATAAGGTCAGAATTTAGCTACTTTAGCTAACAGGATAACTTGGGTAGGCACAGTCTTTTAGTAGGTTTTAAACCATGCCACTCCAGACACCAGCCTTGGGCATAAGGCTGAACCTCGTCATAGTGCCCCTGAACCTAGTAGTGGCAAGATGACATTTGCCCTTAGTTCCCATCACCTGTCTTCCTTGACTTTCAGTAGAATTGACATCTGTCCTTAGCCCCTTGGCTTTCAGTGGTAAGATGACATCTGTCCTTAGCCCCCATAACCTGTCCTCTGACTTTCAGTACCAATTGTGCCCACCTTCCTATATGACATGGAATTCAAAGAAGTCAACTCTTCTCTGCACCTCGGCCCTGCCGGAAGTTCCCCACATGCCCTCGCCTCTCCTCCCTTTTCCACCGTCTTCTCCTTCTTCGACAACACCACCATGGCTGTTGAAGAAAGCGTGCCCAGTGGCATAGCATGGACGAATGACACCGCCAGCAGCATCCCACCTCCGGCCACTGAAGCCATCTCAGCTCCTAAAAACAACTGCTTGCAAGGCACAGAATTCTTGGAGGAAGAGAATACCCGGGTTGGGGTTCTGTTTGCTTCAAAGGCTGTGATGCAACTTCTGGTCAACCCTTTCGTGGGCCCTCTCACCAACAGGTATCTCACTGGGTGTAGGGCCCTGCAGGGTACACAGGAGTAGGAGGACTAGAAAAGTATACAAAGGGGTTGGAAGGGAAAAAGAAGAAATACTCACTTGTCTGGTTCCCCAGGGGAGTCAGCTATTTGGAAAGCTCGTTATGCAAAGAATAACTTGTTACTGATGAAATGTCATGGGATCAGATTTTCTTAGTGATATATTGAGTATTGAGTACCAAGAAGAGAACGATGAACAGCAGTGTGCTGTGATGTTGTATCAGTGACCTGGAGCGTGGCTGGAATGGGAAAAGGGTATGAACGGGACAGTCCTGTTGTAATCTAGAGCACTGGCTTCCCATGAGCTGTATTTAGGATTATTCTGATATTTTCAGGAGATATACACTCTACCTATATACTCTACCTAGGCTATCCTTTCTGGAAATGAGAATTTTGGCCCTAACATATGGTCATATTTGCATGTTTGTTTATTTGCTCGTACTCATCCACTGTTTCATCTCCACGCTACATTCAGAGGCCTGTTTTACCATACACCCAAATAGCTGCATTTCTGCTCCCACTTACATTTAAAAATGTAGTCCAAATATATGAGTGCTTATTGGAATTGTATCTTTTTTTTTCAATTCCCTTTTAGGATTGGATATCACATCCCCATGTTTGCTGGCTTTGTTATCATGTTTCTCTCCACAGTTAGTAAGTAATTTTGTTCCTCTTTTCTTCCCTTCACTGATTACCTTTGATTTTATCAAGTGAATGTGGTGTAGATAGCAGGGTAGCCTAGAAAGTAATTAGGCATCTGACTAAGCAGACTGCGATATTGATTTAAATGCTCTGCTCTTTTTGGTATGTGGACTATAACCGTAGTGACAATTCAGTCTAGTTGGAATTGGTCTATTCTGCTATACAAGAACAGATATTTTATTCACTTCAGCTGGACGTAATGAAAGCTGTTTGAATATGTATGCTATGGGGTGTGTGTGTGTGTGTGTGTGTGTGTGTTATGTATGTATCAGTAATCCCTCGAGCAAGTTTAATACAAACTTTCCATCTACAAGAAGCAATGGTATTATTTCGATATGCCATGGTAAAGGGCAACTAACAAAAAAAACAGAAATTGGACAATAACATCTGGAAAATTCCAAAAAGCCTACTCCTTTTCAGTTAAGGGCTTTAAAGGTTAAGCTTAGAAAAGCAAATTTTCTAAAGAAATAAGAAAGAGAAAGACAAACAGTCTATCCAGGATCAGCTAAATGTTTCTAATAAAATGGAGATGGAATAAACACAGTACGTGCGAAAAGCAAGTCTGGAAATTGATGCTGAGAAGTAAAGGAAGAAGGAATGAAAAGGGGTTAGCGTTTGCAGGTTAAGGCAGCCTATGGATCCAGCCTTCGTTCCCGATGGCCCTGCTGATCCTCTGCTCTCCAACAACATACCTCCTTCTCCCTCGAGTTTTTATTACCTTTCCGTTTCTTATCTACTTTCTCTCTTCCTCTTCCTCAGCTTCTCTTCTTTCCCAGCATAGGACTTGATTCCTATCAACCCAATTTTAACAAGAATTTGTTGCATTCTGGGCTGGAAGGCTGCAAAGTGCAAGAACTTGAGGTGTGAGGTTCTCTCTGAGAACTGCATCTTGTTGGTGAAATTTTAGTGGACTTGAAGAAAATGCAGAAATTCAAGTTAGCACTGTTCATGGAACTTCTAGAAGCTCAGCCTATGCTAGGAAGCAAATTTAAAAATAAGATGCCCTATTTCATCAAATGAGGCTCAAGATTTATTCCATACAGTTTTATGCGGTGCATGTATAATGCCCAGAGGATTATAGTCACGTAAAGAATGAAAAGACATGATTCCAGGTATCAGAAGTGTATGATGGTTGCCTGGGGAGACGTGAGACACGCACTGAGAAGTAAGACAATGCGGTGTGCTAGCGGATCTAAGACGTTTTAGCAGGATATGCTTGCCTGATTCTCTGCCAAGAACTCATGTTTTAAAAGCTTTACTTTTAAAGTAAACTATGTATGTTAAATAATTATTATTTAACTTATACCAAACTGTATATGTTAAATAATTATTATTTCCATAGGATAGCTGTGTGACTATATGGAGTTGGCCTAATTCTAACCAAAAGAAAATACTTTTGATGTTTAGGGTATCCTTGTAGCATTGTCCAATGTTTCAAAAAAATACTTAAAAGAGAATGTTGATGACCATTACTACCCTTAACCTCTCCATCCGCCAACTAGGAGCCATGCCTAATGTAATCAGGAGTGAAATGGTGGCCCATGTAAAGGGTCCAAAGTGAAAAAAAAACTGCTTTGGTCTTCCTAAATAGAATGACCAACTCTCCTGGTTTGCCTGGAATTGAGGGGTGTCTTAGTCCATTTAGCATTGCTGTAAAGGAATACCTGAGGCTGGGTCATTTATATTAGCAAGAGGTCTGTGGGCTCATGGTTCCGCAGGCTCTACAGGAAACATGGCGCCAGCATCTGCTTCTGGTGTGGGCCTCGGGAAGCTTCCACTCATGGTGGAAGGTGAAGGGGAGCTGGCTGTGCAGAGATGAGAGAGGAAGCAAAAGAGAGGAGAGGGAGGTGCCTGCCTTTTTTAAACCACAAGCTCTTGAGAGAACTGTAGAATGAGAACTCACTCACCACCTAATGAAGGACATTAAACTATTCATGAGGGATCCGCCCGCATAACCCAAACACTTTCCACAGGGCCCCGTCTCCAACACTGGGGATCGAATTTCAACATGAGATTTGGTGAGGACAAACAACCCATATCCACACTATAGCGAGGGGCTTCCCAGGATGTCAGACTTTCTGTTTTTGTGGTGGTATTTTGAGTTTCAGTTTTAAAAACAAGGAAGTTCTGGGCAGACCAAGATAAGTGGGCCACTCTGTTCTCAAAGGACATTGGAAGGGTAGACAGAAAAGATTGGAGATAACAAAGCCCGAGAAAAGATGCTAGTGGCCAGGGAAGGAGAGACACCAAGAATGTACATCTTTGGGAAACAAGGAGAAGTTCAGTGTGATCATGTCTGTCGGGAAGTTAATGGGAGAAGATTAAAAAGACAACCAAAGACATCTGTAATGAATGGGCAAAGGGATTACAATTATTCTGATTCGGACACTTTGAGGAGATTATTCTTACTCTAGGAGACATTATTCTGGAATTGGAGGTGAGACATGTCTGGACTTGACTACCCTGACCAGCAGCACCCTCTGATTTAGCTTTGGTAACATATTCCTGTTGGTTCTCAGTTTCATGGGTGTTCATCCTCAACAGACTGACCCTCTGCAAGGGCAATAACTAGACGTTATTTTTATTTTGCATTTGCTACAGAGTCTAGAAAAGCTGTGTATTCAGTATAATTTAATAAATGCTGATTTTGTCTGGTTAAAATATCATTCAATATAAGATAAAAAGAAGGATCTGATTGTATCACAATATATTATTTTCTACCCAATTCCCATAATCCTCGAAGCACCCCCGTACTGTCACTGTACTCCAGATGACCCTGTAGGACCCAGCAATAGTAAAGACCGGATCTGGGTGTTGCACATGGAGAATCCAGGAGTATGGTCTAAGGACCAGTTTCCAGCCCAGGACACTGAGCTTCATGGACATCCCTCACTCAGTGGACAGAATGTTGGGTTCTTGGCAAGAGATGTAGAGACTCAGCCTTCCATCTGCTGTGTGGTGACTTGGTTTATACTTCTGTGGTTTCTCAGTTTTCTTGCATTTAAAAAGTGGTTCTGATGGAGGAGTAGGAGATTGAAAAGACAACTCAAAAAACAGGGAACAGTCATCATGCTTTATTAAAAACATATGCGTCATGACTCATATCTGCAGTATCATGGGCATGTTCTCTGGCAGCCAGGGAAGCAAAGGCAATTTGCTAATGCAGTTATCTTGCTATTCTCTTTGCCCAGTGTTTGCTTTCTCTGGGACCTACACTCTACTCTTTGTGGCCCGAACCCTTCAAGGCATTGGATCTTCATTTTCATCTGTTGCAGGTAACACTGGCAACTTCATCATGCACACACACATGCACGCATGCACACACACACACATACTCACACACACACACACATCTCTTACTACCTCAGATCCTATATTTATATGGAGAAATTAAGGAAAATATCATCTGGATAGGTAGAAATTGTGATTCAGAAATAAGGGAATTGGGCTGGGCACAGTGGTTCACACCTATAACTGCTGCACTTTGGGAGGCCAAGGCAGGAGGATAGCTTGATTCTAGGGGTTTGAGACAAACCTAGGCAACCTGGGCAACATAGTAAGAGCCCTATCTCTATTTAAAAAAAAGAGAATAAGTTAGCCAGGCATGGTGGTGTGCACCTGTGGTCCCAGCTACTTGGGAGGCTAAAGTGGGAGGATGGCTTGAGCCTGGGTGGTCAAGGCTGCAGTGAGCCATGATTGTGCCTCTGCACTTCAGCCTGGGTGACAGCTAGACCCTTACTCAAAAAAAAAAAAAAAAAAAAAAAAAAAAAAAAAAGGAATTATAGAATTTCTGACAGGGTCCATAGATCCCTGAGCCTGACGTAACTTCCTCTGCTAATATTCAGATGCAGCTAGCTCAGGTCAGAACAAGCCTCCAGTAAAACCATGAAGAAGGGCAGGCTTTTATTTAGTGACACTCAATGGTCCTTTGTCTGTCCCCCTCTTAGTACTTTATAGGAGTAATCATGTTAATACTACCGGTAATACCAGCACAGTTTTCACAGTACTGGTGAATACAATATCTAATGCAATCCTATGAAGTTGGTATTTTATGCCATTTTACCCATGACTGTGAAGGCCTGAGAGTCCAGCTGCCGTACAGCACTAGCCTACACTCTTTTCCAGGTCCCCAGTGCTTTTCCGCTCTTTCCTGGGCATCCCTGTTAAATAGAATGGTCTCTGTGTGCCTAGGTTTTCCTTTCCCTGACCTGCTCTGTAATCACTCGTTTAGGGAAACGTGCTCAGAAATAAGAAAATGCTATGAAACATGGTATAATCAGACAATGGATTTTCTGTGTTATCCTTCCCAGAGGCCTTGCACTTTCAATAATATTCTGAACAAGAGTGGACAATGTGGGGGCCTGGGGGCCTAGGGAGGGCAGTACTTGGAAAATACTATGGGTTAAGTTTTGTAAAACCCCTCAAACCAAAACTCTAGCTAAGATTGTCACTGAAGAGATAACAGGGTGGGACCAAGGGCTCTGAGAGGTGGATAGAAGCCCCTGGGGGTCAGTTGCATCTGCCACTCTCTGCACAGGTCTTGGGATGCTGGCCAGTGTCTACACCGATGACCATGAGAGAGGACGAGCCATGGGAATTGCTCTAGGGGGCCTGGCCCTGGGGCTGCTGGGTAAGTGGCACCAGCTGGAGCTCTGGGTTCGGGAGGGTGGGATTCCAGGAAGCAGGTGTTCCCGAGGTGTGGAAGACGAGTATTTTCCTTCCCTCGTTGGCCTCATCCTATTTCAACTCCTTCAGAAATATCACTGAGAAAATGTAAAAGTTCCTTCTCCTTAAGAAGCTGGGAAACACATGAGGGTCAGGGAAAGGTCTGGAAGCTCAGCCTGTTGGAGGAAGTGAGCCTCCCCGCATTACAGGCCACTGCCTCGTCTCGGTTCCCATGCACACACCACCAGAGCATGGCTGTTGCCAGATGCTCTGCTAAATCCGTTACGGGCATAATCTCTTTTATTCCTCACCACCAGGAATAAAAGGAGGATTGATTTTCCCCATCATAGAGATGAAAATAAGAATGGTGAAATAAACATCCAAGATCACACAGCCAGGAAACGCCGGAGCCGGGATACAGACTCCAATTTTCTGGCCTTGGAAACCCAAGCTCCAAATGATAAAATTACCCTTTCTTTGAGACTTGTCCCTCATACTACTTTACTGATAACTTACATACTTTCACTTATTACATGCCAAGTACAGTGCCAGAACTGTAGGGTGGGAAGCCCCAGGCATAGTTCCTGCCTTCTAGGAGCTCACAAGCGCATCGAAAAGAAAACACCTGAAATCTCTTCCCTGGCCTACGCCCCACCCTCTAGCCCCATGGGAAGCACAGGAAACAGAATCCCTGTTATTTGTTAGTATCCATCAAACCAAATGCTCAATCTAAAACCTGTGCATCTTGAGGTCCTTTATCATGTCCCAAGTGAACTCCCAAATGAACAAGCTTGTTAGATCCTCAACAGCCACTCCTGGCTCCTTGTCACTTCTGGGTTAGAATTTGGCAGCAGCCCCCTTCTTGTGTACTCCCTCCTTCCACCAAGATGCCACCTGAAGAATCTTCCTGAGCCCAGAGTAGGTGGTATTTCTCTCCTGATGTTTCTTCACAGGCTGCAAAGCCAAGTAGATGACTCATCTGTGTATACAAGGTTCCTGCATATTCAAGGCTCTACTTTTCTCCTCTCAAATATTCATACTCTCCTAACACCCACTTTCTCTTTTCTTTCTCTAACTACACACTCTTTTCTGACACCTCTGTGTTCTTCACACAAGCTTCTTCCCCTCCAGATACTTTGCACTTGGCAAAGCCCTCGTGGCTGCCTGGACTTCCTGAGACATCGACTGTGCATTCATTGTATGCAACATTTTCTGTCAAACTTTCACCATGCTTTAATTATTTGGGTCCCTCCCTACACACACACACCCACACACACTCCCACACACATACATTTCATCCACTAGAAAGTGGGCTTGTTGGAGAGAGGGATCATGTCTCCATCTCTGAATTCCCAGAGCCTCTGGTGGAGCTTAGCCCCTAGCAGCCCTTCTGCAAATGCTCACGGGGTAAATGTGGACAGTTCTCACTGGATAGGACTCACCCTCACCCCTGGAATCTGTATGTGCTTTGCCTCTCCAGTGGGAGCTCCCTTCGGAAGTGTAATGTATGAGTTTGTTGGGAAGTCTGCACCTTTCCTCATCCTGGCCTTCCTGGCACTACTGGATGGAGGTAAGTCACCATCAGAGCCTCCAGCAGGACACAGCCCAGGTCAGGTTGGGAATGTGTTATGTTGTGGTGTCCGTCTTGACTAAGAATGGGTGGTGTGGACATGTTTTGATGAATCAAGGACAGCCCCATTGTAGAAAAGGGAGAAGAAACTCGGGGAGTTAAATTTGTACATAATAGGGTGGTAGCACTACCGCTGCTATTGGAACCCCCGGCTATTCAGTAGACACGCTGAACTGTCTCGCCTTCTTTCTTTCTTAGCACTCCAGCTTTGCATCCTACAGCCTTCCAAAGTCTCTCCTGAGGTAAGCAGACACAAAGCTCCATTGCTAACAGATATGCAGGATGGCTGAATGCAAAAACCCAGGCATGCCTGTCAAGTCATCAGAAGAAAAGTAAAGAGGCATAGAGTCAGGGAAGGTGAGAACTGTGTTTGGATTCTAGGATAGGGCTACATTTCGCGTAGTGTGGGGAATAGTGAGGTATTTGGCTTGATTTTGGACAAAGATGGTTGAAAAGCCTTGTGAAGAATCAAAGAAGCCATACAGAATATATATGTATGGCTTCTTTGATTCTTCATAAGGCTTTTATAACATATACATATAATATATAATATATATGTGTATATTATATATGTTATATATATTATATATGGAGATCTTCAGATATATATGAATATAGATATGGAGTATATTTATATGTATACACACTCCACATATATATGGAGTGTATATATACTCCACACACATATAGAGTATGTATACATATATATTCATGTATATCTGGAGATTTCCATAGATATACACACACACACACATAAAATTATAGCTAGGAGATAATGACATTGGGGACTGAGTATCTGGAGCTGTAACATCATCTCAGAGATGAAGGCTGTGGGAGCTACCTAGACAGCCTCTTCTCCAATAAAAGATATCCTCTGTGAACATCCCTGTCATTCTGTCACAGTTAATAAGTATCAGAGTTGGTACTTGTTTGACTCTAAGCCAAAAATGGCTCTGGAACATCCATATCCCACCACGAAGGAAAAAAAGTAAGAAAGTGCATCAAGTGTAAAAAAGTTTGATCTAAAGGCCTTGACTTTGCATTCCACAATTCGTCAAGGTATTCCAGAAGTCGTGACACACCTCATCATTCTTCAGGGCTTTTCATGCACCAGGAGCTCTGCTTCGTGCGCCATCTATGCTGCATCTTATACATTCCATGAAATAACTACAATTTTTAGCCTCACTCTACAGATGATGAAATCGAGGGTAAACAGAGAAACATCTGAAAGAATTAGAAACTATGACATAATCAATACTTTTAGAGTGCCAATTCCCCCAGAGAGACTAGGAGCCTCCCGCAGTCTGCTGAGATGCTGCTGCTCTTTTCAAACTGGCTTTAGGAGTAGGGTGTCTGGGTCCATGGGAGGGAGGTCATAACCACCACCCATCCAGGACTCCTCAGGGCAAGGAGCACCAAATACCCTCTGCACAGGTTCCCAGGCCTGGAATATGCTTCCCAGGCCTGGAATAGGCACCCCTCCAGCCCTGGCCAAGGCATAGGGACACTCATCCAGGTGATTCAGCCGTTGTTTATTATTAGCTGTGCAGCCATGGTGAATTATTCAGCAAGTAAATCCAGCTTGAGATTCCAGGAAAGTGAGGTACCCACAAATATCTACTTTTCTGAGACAGAGTCTTGCTGTGTCACCCAGGCTGTAGTACAGTGGCACAATCTGGGCCCACTGCAACCTCCACCTCCTGGGTTCAAGTGATTCTCCTGCCTCAGCCTCCCAAGTAGCTGGGATTACAAGCATGCGCCACCACACCCAGCTAATTTTTGTATTTTTAGTAGAGACGGGATTTCACCATGTTGGCTAGGCTGGTCTTGAATTCCTGACCTCAAGTGATCCACCCGCCTCGGTCTCCCAAAGGGCTGAGATTATAGGCATGAACCACTGCACCTGGCCCATTCTCTCTCTTTCTAACAAATATACATTATTATTATTACTAATTTTTTAAGCCAGTTGACAGTAGATTGATTGTATCATTCCGTTACCCCTGGATACTTTAGAGCATCTTCCCTAAGAATAGGATTATTTCCTTATGTAATGACAATAGAGCTATCAAATTCAGGAAATTTAACATCGATATAATACTTTAGTCTGATTTACAGTGCCTACTCTGATTGTGTCAATTATCCCGATAATGTCTTCCATGGAAGTTTTTTTTTTCTCTAGTTCACGGTCCAGTCCAGGACTGCATAAGACATTTGTGCATCACACCTCTCTAGCCTCTTTTAATCTGGAAAAGTTCTCAGCCTTTATCTTTCATGACACTGACATTTGTGAAGACTATAGTTATCTATAGGGCATTCCTAATTTTGGTTTGTCTGATGTTTCTTCATGATACCGTGGCCTTCTGAGGGTCATGTCTGGAGGTATTTAATGCCCATTACCTCTCAGTGGTGATGTCCATTTTGATCACTGGGTCAAGGTGTCGTCTGGGTGTCTTGTGTAGTTATTACTTCTTCACCTTGTAACTAATAAATAACTTGTGGGAGACAAGTCTCCTACTCCTCCTTAAATTTCCTTTCTGCCTATATTTGTTATCCATTGATGATTCTTGACTGACCTAGCCTTTACTATAACGTTTACAAAATACTGGTTTTTCTAGGTTACCAATTCGTCCAAATCATCGGTTGGCACTTTGCTGTAAGGACTAGCCATTCCTCCAAGGCAGGCGGATCACTTGAGACCAGGAGTTTGAGACCAGCCTGGCCAACATGGCAAAACTCTGTCTCTACTAAAAGTACAAAAAAAAAAAAAAAAAATTAACTGGGCATGGTGTTGCGCACCTGTAATCCCAGCTACTCAGGAGGCTAAGGCAGGAGAATCCCTTGAACCTGGGAGGCGGAGGTTGCAGTAAGCCACTGCACTCCAGCCTGGGTGACAAAGTAAGACTCTGTCTCCAAAAAAACCCCTAAAAAACATAAAAAGAATAGACATTCCTTTCTTATTGCCTTTATACATATATATTTATAAATATTAATACCTAAATAGGTATATGATAATTTTATGTACATGTGATTATGTTCAGAAAAACCTTCAAAAAATAATTTATCTGATTATTATCAGTGTAGAATCATGGAGTCCTATTTTTGTAGCTCATCACTCTCCTTATTTATTTACTTATTTAATTTTTTTTTGGAGACAGGGCCTCTTTCTGTGACTGAGGCTGGAGTGTAGAGGTGTGATCATGGCTCACTATAGCCTCCAACTCTTGGGTTCAAGTGACCCTCTTGCCTCAGCCTCTTGAGTAGCTGAGACTACACAAGCATGCCACCACACCCAGCTTATTCTTAACTTTTTATAGAGATGGAGTCTCCCTGTGTTGCCCAGACTGGCTTTGAACTCCTGGCCTCCAGTCCTTAATTGTTTTGAGACTCAAATTGTCTTAGATTTGACAAGTCAAAGCCCATTAACTGGTTGCTGTGTCATTTTAACATAACTTCATTGTTTTTTGAGTAATGTTTTACTTTTTGATACAAAAATACGTCCTACGTTCATCTTGTACTTTCCCTGCCTCAGCCCTGAAATCATTTTGCCAAGGAGTCCAGGTTCTTATTAGTATGGATGGTGTTTAGAAACCAAACTATGGGGCCAGGCACAGCGGCTCACACCTGTAATCCCAGCACTTTGGGAGGCCGAGGCAGGCAGATCATGAGGTCGGGAGATCGAGACCATCCTGGCTAACACAGTGAAACACCATCTCTACTAAAAATATTTTTAAAATGAGCCAGGCGTGGTGGTGGGTGCCTGTGGTCCCTGCTACTCGGGAGGCTGAGGCAGGAGAATGGTGAGAACCCGGGAGGAGGAGCTTGCAGTGAGCCAAGATCACGCCACTGCACTCCAGCCTGGGTGACAGAGCAAGACTCTGTCTCAAAAAAAAAGAAAAAAAAGAAAAAGAAGAAACCAAACTATGGGCACTCGATGTGCTCTTTGCCATTGGGGTCACTTTGTTTCCCTGCCATCTTAATGACAGAGCTAATACACACACACGAGCTCGTACTGAGACCTCCACTTCCAGCCCAACTCCGCGGGATTTTTCCCTGCTTGCCCCACTCCATACAAGTATTCTCCTTCTTTCAAAGTAAGAAATTTGTCTCCCCCTATTATACAAATAGGTAAATACCTATTATACAAATAGATAAAAACAATTACCTATTTGTATAATTGTATACTTACCCATGCTATTACAAAAAACAAACCTACCAAGAAATATTCAAGATTTTTTCAGATCTTTCTCCCTTAGACTTAGTGAATATAGCCAAATACTACATCTAGAAATTACCGTACTTGCTTTGGTTCTTTTTTCCACCTTTAGTGTGATTATATAATGCATAATGCATTTGAAATTCATTTGCATCCATTTGTGGGTGTCTTTTTTTTTTTTTTTTTTTTTGGCATTTAGTTTTAGTTTTTTTTTCTCCATTCTGGCTAATTATATTAACCTGTTCTAGCTGCCAGAACAAAATACTACAGATTGGGTAACTTAAACAACACATATTTATTTTCTCATGACTCTGGAGGTTGAACGTCCACGGTCAAGGTACTATTGAGGGTTGGTTTCTGGTGAGGCCTCTCTTCGTGGCTTGCAGACAGCCACCTTCTCAGGTGTCTTCACATGACCTTTACTCAGTGTGTATGCACAGAGAAAGAGAGCCCTGATGTCCCTTCCTCTTTTGATAAGGACAACAGTTTTTCAGGTTGAGCTCCCACTCTTATGACCTCATTTAACCTTAATTACCTCCCTAAAGGTGCTGTCTCCAAACACAGTCATATTAGGGGTTAGGACTTCAACATACTAATTTGACCAAGGTGGGGCTCAATTCATCCCAAAACACTGAAATAGTTTTATTTTTTGAATATATAAAACATTACCACCTAAAAGTCAAAATTATTCAAAAAGGTATAGTCAGAAATCGTCAATCCCTCCAGTCTTTCTAACCCTTCCCCTCCCCCACCGCTACCACGCGTAGGTAACCAATGCCTTAATGCCTTCTGGGTTGTCTTTACTGTGTCTTTGTGTTTTTTCCTCATAATAAATAGTTTATGTGTTTTCTTATTTTTCCCTTTTCTCTTACATGAAAGGCAGCACACTGTGTATTATTTTTTGCATTCTCCTTTTTTTCTCAATAATATGTCCTGAAAATTACTCTACTAATTCATAGAATCTTTCCTCATTATTTTACACCTGTGTGATACACACACACACACACACAATTGTGTATGTGTACACAATGGTACACAATTGTGTGTGCACCATATTTTATTCCATCTCCTGTGTTTAGGTAGTTTTCAGTATTTTGTAGTTACAAATATTGCTGTAATTTACATGTGTGCATTTTTATAATGTTAGCATTAATCTTTAGAGTCAATTCCTAGAAGTGGGAATGTTGGGTCAAAGGGTTTATTGGACTTTTAAATATATATTTTAATGATTTACATCAGTTTCTTTAGTTTGAATAATAATGGGGTGAGAGAATGATGTTTTTAGTTTTAGAATCTCTAAATTTCTCAATCCACTATTGTGTGTGTGCAGAGACGGTTATCATACCAAAATGATCAAATTTATTACAAGACAGAATGTAGTAAACACCACGAAGAATTAGGACATAGTGTTCAGGATGTTTGAAAGAGAGAGAAGCCCCAGCTACTGAGTCAGGGAGCACTCTGGAAAAGAAGGAGTCACTTAAGCTTGACTTTAAAGAGTGGGTAGAACTTGGAACTGTGGAGAAGTGAAGGACGTGTAGTTCAGGCAAAGACAATAACGATGGCTGAGGGACTGCTGGGATGCATGGAAGGAGGGTGGGGTGACCAAGTTTAGATGAGAGCGTGTCATGATGAGAGTGGGTCCTGCATGTTTAGGCTGCATTTTAACTCTGCTTCTACCTTAGTCCAGTGTGGCTTAAAATGATCAGAACGAATTCAGAAAGCTTGAGAGGCTTTCTGAGTTATGGCTTCTGTGCTTGCTTTTGGGATTCGGTGCTCTGCCTGTGGTTCTCCCAGGACAAACATTAGTACCAGGGAGATCTGCTGGAAACCAGGAGTCCAGACACCTATTGTCCAACCGTGACCTTGCTACCAATTCACTCTGACCTTGTTGATGGTCACGTGAAGGCAGGAATCACAGCTGGAATATATTGCTTCTCTATCTCTGACTACTACAGTGCCTACCTTGGGCACAGGAGGGGCCCTGCCTCCAGGTCCCTCTGTGGTATCAAACAAGTCACTTTCTCTCCCTGCGCTGGGATTCCTGTTCTCTGCAGTTAAGGAGCTGCTGTAGATGGTCTCTAAGCCCCTAATTGCATCTTCTCAGATTCTGTGAAAATAGGAGAGATGTATGCACTGTACAAATGGACATTTTTTGTCATCCATGTTCTCAGAGTGCCAAGGGGACTCCACTCTTTATGCTTCTCAAAGACCCTTACATCCTGGTGGCTGCAGGTAAGCTGGCGATGACCTCCCATTGGGCGGGGAGTGTCTGGGCTTCAGGCAGCCACGGTTGCTCACAGAAAAGTCTCCCCAGGGTCCATCTGCTTTGCCAACATGGGAGTGGCCATCCTGGAGCCCACACTGCCCATCTGGATGATGCAGACCATGTGCTCCCCCAAGTGGCAGCTGGGTAAGTGCCCTCAGCCCCCACTCAGGGCCTGGCAGGAGGAGGTGGGTGCCATGAGTCGTTTTGCTCAGTGTTACATGGGGACAATGTGCTTCCTTTGTAGAATGACCTCCCATGTCCACACCCATGAATCAAGCCCAAGTGGGTGTGCAGTCCCTCAAAGAAGCAGTCTGAGAAAGGGGAGGGTGGGAGAGGATGAAAGGGGCTATGGAGAGGTCAAATACCTAGTTCTGTAGTAGAATGATTAATGATTTCCAGTCCAAAGATTCAGGTTTTGGTTTCAGCTCCTTTGATTTTCCATGAAAACTTGTGCAAAGACTTTAAACTCTCTGAGCATCACTTTTCTCATTGCTAAAATGAGCATCAAAATACTATCTAGTTCAAGGGAAATAGGATGAATAAATGACATACGAGGTGAAAATGCTTTGTTCCATGTACAATATTCGTGTGCACCATTACCATCCATATTTTTCTCCCTTCAGCTCCTCATCCTCAAGACTATCGTTTGGTTATTTATTTATTCATTTTTTTACCTGTATAAAGGTGCTTATGTAGCCCTCACTTACGAAAACCTATGGGCCCAGGAGAGAGGGTTCCAGCTTCCTTCGTTCATGCAGAGACTTAGAGAGGAGCTTGGGGAGCAGGCTCTAGCCCTTCCCAGGAACCCTGAGGAAAGAGGATGGGGAAGGCTACGTGCAAATTGCTCCATCACTGCCAGGAGGAGAGGCTTACGGGGCCAGAAGGGAAGCTGATAAGAACCTGATATAGTTCAGCATGCAATAAAAAGCACTAAATCTAATTTTGGGGGGGACAATTCTAAGCAAGACTCCCAGCTGCACTCTTAGTGCCAAATTGAATTTTTGTGGGTTGCAAGTGCTTTTGACCATGACGATTAATTGAGTTAGTCGGTGTTCAATGCAGATAATGCATCCCCTGCCCTGAGGCTCTGGCCTCTCAGGTTCTCGATACCGGTGAGCAGCCGCAACACAGAGTAGCTCCTCCCCAGCAGCCTAGCACCAGCCTCAGTTGCCAGTTACCAATTACTCAGTTACCAGTCACTCAGTTACCACCATCTTTTACAGCTTCCTCAATGCTACATGGTCTGTAAAGTCTGACATCAAAGGTTATCCAACAACTACATCAGAATCACCTAGAGAGCTTGTTAAAACTCTGATCGCTGGGAGACAGTGAGCAATTCAGTCAAAACAAGTTTTCATCCCTAGTAAGTTTCCAGGTGATGCTGATGTACCTGGTCAGTGATCACACCTAGAAAATTGCTGCTGTACATGAAGAGCACCCCTCGAGGGTGTTGGGAGGAACAAAGGAGTTCATGCTTTTGAAAGTAATGTGTAGTCTGCCTCTGAGTGCTTGCTGTGTGGCCCACGGTATGCTAGGTAGCTTCACCAAGGGGAGGAAATAGCCCAGATCCACCCGTGTTTGAATCCTGACCACGCCACTTCCTGACTGTGACCTTGGATAAGTTATTTAACCTCTTTGACCTCTGATGTGGTCTGAATATGTCCCCCAAAATTTATATGTTGGAAACTGAATCCCCAGTGCAACAGTCTTGAGAGGTGGGACCTTTGAGAGATGATGAGGTCATGGGAGCACCCTCATGAAGGGGTGAAGACCATTATCATGGGATTGAGTTTGTTATAATAAAAGGTAAGTTCAGTACCCTTCACCTCTCTCTTGTGGGTGCTGTCTCTACATGTGATCCCCTTTAGCCATGTTGTGATCCAGCAACCAGGCACTCCCCAGGTGGCCAAATAGACACTGGAGGCTTGCCCTTGAACGTCTCAGCCTCCAGAACTCTGAGCCAAATAAATCTCTTTTCTTTATAAATCACACACTCTGGTGTTCTGTTATATTATAGAGGCATAAAATGAACTAAGACAGAAAATGGGTACTGAGAAACAGGGCTGCTGCTGTAACAAATACTTGAAAATATGGAAGCAGCTTTGGAACAGGGAAATTGGTAGAGGCCACAATAATTTGGAGGAGCAGGCTAGAAAGAGCCTGTATTGCTGTGGTTAAGGCATTAAGGGTGATTCTGGTGAGGGCTCAGAAGAAGAGGAGAGCTACAGAGAAAGATTGAATCTTTTTAGACATTGGTTAAGAGGTTGTGACCAGAAAGTTGATAGAAATATGGACAGTAAAGGTCGTTCTGACAAGGTCTCAGATAGAAATGAGGAACAAGGTATTGGACACTAGAGTAAAGGCCATCCTTGTTATACAGTTACACAGTTAGAAAAAACTTGGGGGACTTGTATCCATAGCTTAGGACTTTATGGAATGAAGAACTTAGAGGCAATAAACTAGGATATCTGGCAGAAGAAATATCTAAGCAGCAAAGCTTCAGGCTGTGTGTGGCTGTTTTAACTGCATATATAGTGACATGTGAGAGCAAATAAATGACTTAAAGGTGAAATTTATGATTAAAAGAGAAGCAAAACAGAAAGACTTGGAAAATTTGCTGCCTGGCCTTGGAAAGAAGGAAAAGGCATCTTTAGGAGAGCACACCAAGAGTGTGGCCAAGCAACCTAAAGCAATCAGTATGGATAAAAGGGATCCAGGCACCGTTTATTAAGACTGTGGGAGAAAGACCTCAAAGGCATTTTAGAGATCTTTGGAACTGTGCCTCCCATTACTGGTACAGAGATCTAGGAGGGCAGAGTGGTTTGGGAATAAGCCTGGGGCATCCTCCATGGGCTCACTGCCCAGGACCACCTTGGGACTCTGCTCTCTGCGTTTCAGTGCAGTGCCCCTCAACTGTGCCAGCCATGGCTCAAGTGGGCCCAGAAGTGGCCTGGCCTCCCACTCTGAAGGGTGCAAGTGGTAAGCCTTGGTGGTGTCTGTGTGGCACAAATTTTGCCCTTGCACAGAATGCAAGAGCTATGGGTGCATGACTTCTTCCACCTAAATTTCAAAAGATGTCATGGACAGCCACTTCCAAGATCACAGAACTGTAGGGGCACCAGCCTGGTGGCCTGCAAGCATAAGACTCCAACCCATGATGGCTGCTGGGTGGACTGAGCCCAGAAAGACCACAGGGGTGGGGCTGCCTGATGCCTTGGGGGTCCAACCTCCACTCCAGTGTGCCCAGGATTTTGGACATGGAGTCAAAGGCGATTATTCTTCAGCTTTAAGACTTAATATTGTTTTCCATTTTGGGTTTTGGACTTTGATGGGACCTGTTCCCCCTTTATTCTTCCCCATTGCTTGCTTTTGAAATGGGAATGTCTGTTCTATCCTTGTCCCACCATTGTTTTTGAAAGTAGATAAATTATCCCTTGGTATCCATAAGAGATTGGTTCCAGGACTCCTAATGGCTACCAAACTCCAAGGATGTTCAAGTCCCTTACATAAAATGGCATCGTATTTGCATATAATCTACACACATCCTTCCATGTACTATAATCATCTCTATCATGCCATGTAAATAGTTGGTATACTGTATTTTTTCTTGTTTGTATTATTCTTATCGTTGTATTTTTATTTTTATTTTTTTTCCTCAACATTTCTGATCTGAGGTTGGTTGAATCCAAGGATGTGAAACCTGCAAATACAAAGGGCCAAGTATAATTTGTTTTGATTTCACAGGCTCACAGCTGGAGGGAATTTGCCTCAGGATTAATCATACCTTGAATCTCACCCATATCTAATTTAGACAAGACTCTAGATTTCGGACTTTTGAGTTTATACTGGAACCACTTAAGACTTCTTAAACTATTGGGATGGAACGAATGCATTTTGCATTGTGAGAAGGACACGAATTTTGGAGGCCAGGGGTAGAATGCTATGTCCTCCAAAATTTGTGTGTTGAAAACTTAATCCCCAATGCAACAGTGTTGAGAGGTGGAACCGTTAGTAGGCAATGAAGCCCTAGGGGCACCACCTTTATGAGTAGATAAAAAACAATTATCACAGGAGTGGGTTAGTTACAAAAGGGGGGAGTTTGGCCCCCTTTTCCTTTCTCTCTCAAATGCCCTTTCTCCATGTGATACCCTTCGGCCATATGATGACCCAACAAGAGGTCCTTCACCAGATGGCCAAGCAGATGCTGGTGCCATGCCCTGGCACTTCCCAGCTTCCAGCACTGTGATCCAAATACATCTTTTTTCTTTACGAATTACCCAATCTGTGGTAATACGTTACAGCAGCAAAAATAAAACAGACTAAGATAAACGCCAGTTTTTTAATTTATAAAAATGTAGATATTTTTTAGGGTCATTTTGATCTGGGATCCTAAATGGATTAGCCCAGTGTGTGGAATACAGGATACTGTCAATAAATAAAAAATTATTTGTACAATTTTAATAATTATTTTAGTTTAAACCATTTTGGTAGTCACAAAATGTGTAATCCCTCATCCCTTAAAGATTCACTGTTAAAAACAGATGTGTATCCATAGATAGACATTCTGGAGCACCTATTTTGCACAAAATACTGCTAAAATGTAAACTATAATCAGATCCTAAAGAACAAGCAACATGGATTGAGAAAAATCTAACTCAGGAAATTTCACACCATTTAAAATGATGTCAAGGAGCTGTACCCAGGAGGCTGTAGGCTTCCTAGAGGTGCTTACTTCCACATACTAGATAAACAATTGAGTAGTTTTAATTTTTTTAAGCAATTAAATATAAACGAACGGGTACAGTTTGTAACAGATTGCCACCTGTCCAGATAGCCTACACAAATACACTAAGGTGTGCTTACTTCTACTCCATAGAAGAGAATATTAAAAGCAAACAAGTTGTCAGCCAATAACTGGTCGATTGTTGACTTTTAATTTAATTGTAATTGCCATGCTATTTTTTGTTAGGCTGCATTGTTTTTTCTAGGTACAGAGAAGGATTAAAAGGGCTGGTGAGATCCAGAGAAACTCACTCTGCTGATCTCAAGCAGTCCCTTATACCGGAGCCATCTGTGCTACCACACTGGGGATATGGCGTAGTGGAAACACCTGGAGTTAGAGTGCGAAGGCCTGGACTCAAGCC